ATAGGTACTACATTCACTTATTGATGTTCCTATCAATAAAGACCTCGTATTACAAAACATATGACATGATAATTCAATAATTTCTTTTCTCTCTGATGGCCTGTTCAGTAGCCTGTTGCTTTTCTGAGTGCCTCTGGGGAGCCAAGTTTGGGTCTCAGCAGTTTATAGAGCACATTCTGAAGATGAACCAAAACTGGTATGAAAAGATTGAATTGGCTTTTCTGAGAGCATGCGTGCACACCATTTTGGTTTAAGATGATTTTGCCAATGCTGGCAGCACTGCTCAAGAGTTTTCTTTGGATCTCTGTGAGACTATCCATTTTATCCTTCAATATTGGTCTAGAGGGCAAGAATAAGCTTGAGATTTAGGTTGAAATCTTAAATATGTATGCTAATGTTCACACCTTTTAGTAGTAGTGCAGTATTTTACCGTGTACTGAGAAATATTCTTTGTCATCAAATGTTGTAAATGTAATATTGGTTTTGTTTCAGCATGGGCACAAAAAAAGAAGGCATTTTAAAACGTGGCATACTTGGAATATTTTAAAAATGCATGAGACAAAATATCGATACACACTGGTTAATGGCTTGATAATACTGGTTTCTTTGTAACCCACAGCTTCAACTAAAAGCAAAACAATTATGAACAGTAATATTTTCCTGGTAGGTCTGAGTCCTTACAGTCCCAGGAGTGAATCTTTACCATTTTTCAGTGACATAGATTGTAGTTTGATGTGCCTGTTCACATTGTTACATTTCTATGGGTTTGAGTGTCTCCCACACAGTTTGATGTTGCCTGAGCATCATAGTACAAAAATGCTTCTTACAGTATCTTTAACCTTTAGAAGTATCTGTGTTTGTACCCATCAGCAGCTTTATCCTGTAAATTGGTAAATGCAGCAGTGGTTACTATTCCACTCTTTCTCCACGGTATTTCTTCCTCTTCTGAGCAGAGTTGTTTTTTTTTTGTAAGGAGCTTAGGTGGGCTACTGTTGCATTTTTCTGCCTGTGTACCTATCTCGATGCATTGGTTTTGCCGTTATTCTGCAGACTGAAATTTAGCAGCAGAGCCAGAGGCTGATGTGCCACTACTGGCTATTAGTGTAAGAAAGTCTTTGTTACCTCTTCCCAACACTGCCACAGCTAAGTGTTGCCTCAATAAAACTCTGGAACTACTGTTTCCATTCCAGAATTAGTTTCCAGGTGTCTTGTTACATTATTGGTGTCACGCATTCTTAAAGAGTTTATAGTTGCTTCCTAGTCTATGGCTGGGCAATGGTGGCTTTCCAGTGTTCTTTAGTAAGATGCTTTAGCGTATAGCATCATTGGGGATTAAAATACTTTTTCGAAAATGGTATTTAAGTGCATGTAGAATTTTACTTACACTTTCTGATGTAAAGTCCTGCTCATTGTGCTTTCTTCCTCACAGTGTGTTGACATAGACATTTCTCTTCCAAATCTTTTGACTTTTATCTCAGAAAATCCAATGCTTGCAATTGTCTTAGAAGAATCAGATCTACAAATCATGTCCTGTTGGAAAGAAAAAGGATAATAAATACGCTTTTACGTGGTTTGCTAGGAGGTCAGGCTTATTTCTTATAAGCAAGTAAGTATGTGTGCTAGAGCAGAGCCCAGCATAAAATTATTTTGCAGACAGATTCAGACTTGTAGTTATGACAAAAATGCATGCTTCAAAAGATGGAAAGGAACAGATGAGGGCTAAGAACAAACCTTTCAGAACAAATCTGTAACCTTCATCCCTTCCACTGATTTGCTTGCTTTTTCATTCATACATATTGAGCACTTTTCCCACTTCAGAGTAATGCAACTGTCCCTAACTCATGCCAATAAGTACTTTACATTGGACGGGTACAGCATATGAAATTTAAGTTTCCAAAAGAAACATTAATCCAATAACTTTTTCCTCGTGCAGGTTTTATATTATGAAGACTTTACAATAGATATAGCAGTTTATTAGACAGAATATTTAAAGAAGAGTATGAAATGAAAAATATGCACAAAATAACCAGAAAACTTTAACATTGGCATTTGCCTTTGTTTTAATTGTACAAGCTAGAGGTGGTATTAACACATGATTATGCATTTAATTTTCTAGTTTGATTAAAAACAATTGCATGTTCTTATTCATAGTTTAAGTGGTTCCAATTGGCTCTTGAAGCCTTTCACTTCAGTGAAGCAAATGGGATGTGGTAGACTTGAGTCTAATCTTCATTGCTCATTTCACTTTGACCAATGAGTTTTCTGCAAGCCTGGGTTAACAAAGCTCATAGGTATTGGTTTACAGAGTAGGGCTATATCATTAAAGAAATTATCCTTTTAGAATTGATAGCTTGTTGATATTACACAGTGTTACTATTATTGAAACAGTCTCTAGAACTGTAAGGCTTAATTTATTAGCCTTTGTTCAAAATATTTGAGAAATTAATTAGTGAATGCTGTTCCAAAAGGATTTTAGATACCATTCAGCTCTACTAAAACTGAAGCAGATTCCAGCTTCCAAGTCTTTTATAATTTAATTTTTTTTCATTTGCTTATAACTTTTCTTTTTAGTGATCCCAGCAGCCAAGGGGGGTGCAGGGGAGATATGATCTTGCCAAATTTCTTTTGGCTGTTTTAAATGTAATTTTGTGCAAAACGTGCTTGGAATTGCATTACAAATTAAAAAAAAAGAGAGAGAGAGAAAGGAAGAAGAAGACAAAGCACAGTATCGGCACTAATACCGTTTAAGAAGTGTTGAAATTACTCTCTTACTGTGTAGCAATCACTCCCAGCAGTTGGTGAAAAAAATAACCTGAAGAGTTTCTTTCCTCTCTGTTCATTCTGTTCACAGTTACACCGGTTGAAACCTCTTGCTAACTCAGCTGACACACCAGCATTTTCAAAGGTGTTGTGGGAATGTCATCCACTTGCAGAACAATGTGAATAGCTTCAGAGGCTGACCTGTTGTGTGCACAGGGGAATGTGTCACTCCTGAAGAATCACTACCTTAGGGAGGCAGCTTGGCAGTAGTTATAATGGCCAATAATGCTACAAAATTTACAGTGGCAACTGAAGAATATTATACATGATAGAAACAGGAGGGTTACTTAGATAGGCATAATATACTGTAGTTACTGAAGTATAAATGGCTGTGAAAGAAAGGTCCAGATTTTTCTCAAGCTGTGTCTGCTATATACCATACGTTGTATTTAAAGCAGACAGAATCATGGTAAATAGTTGTAGGCAGCTTGGTGCAGGAGGTGAGGATGTATGGGAGATAGAGAGACAGTGGAATGGCCAGAGAGTCTGAGTAGGAGAATGGGGGATGTGTCAGTAAGGAGGGAATCTGCCCCACACTATTGGAACTGCTCGCTGCTGTGTTGGTCACTTGAGAATACTGGCAGTTGCCAGAAGCTAAAAGTAGCCTTAAGCCCTGCAAGCTAACACTGTTTTAGTCATCTTTGTTCTTATCTGGAGGACCTTTGCTTTTCATAGTCATTAATAGTCAAGACCCAGAAGTAAAAACTCTTTTTTTGTTGTTTTTGAAAATGATCCTAGCTGAAAGGTGCATTCACAAACACAGTGCTTCTGGTCTCAGTGTGAATAGTGAGCTCAGCTTGCTCCATCTCAGAGGAACAGGACCATAATTTCCTGGCTTGCCAAGTCCATACCCCAACTGTTCCCCACAAGTGTATCTTATAATTCTGTTCTGGAACTGTGAAATTTTTACCTAAAACAAGGTTTAAAAAAACTCACACTCACAACTCAGCTTAAAAGGCTGAAAATTATCTAACCTTGGTTTGCATATATTTAGGGCACCTTGCAAAACCAGAGTTTGTTGCTGTTCAGTATAACCCACTCTGTGACCTTTCTTAGCGAAGGAAATCTAGTGAGATCTTACCCTGGAGTCATAGTAGTAGTTTCCCTCTTTCTGGTTTCATTTGGTCTCCCAGGGAGAAGTAATAGTCTCCCATGCGACAGGGGGAGAAGGAGATGTTCACCTTAAGGACATGGACTGAAAATAAATCTGAAACACATTTCCTTGCACATAACCCAGCTCCTTACACTGAAATTACCCTTTGAATTTTAAAGGGGCTGCAGAGACTGTGAGCAAGTCTTGGGCTACTAAGACCATCAAATGGCTTATGCTGTTCTTGTATATTTCAGTAGAAGGTGCGGGAAATATAGATTTAATTATTTTATTCAAACTCAGGAGATGGTTTGGGACAATTAATTTCCAATTGTTTCCCAGTAGAGCCTATTTACTTGTATATTAATGAGGCACAGGTGTTAGGCCCCTGGTGCCTGCATGCCTGGGAGGCATATTTAGGTTGTTTATCTAGTCAGCCATAGGTACTGCAAGGTACTGAAGCTTGCCTTGAACAGTTTATACAGTGAGGCTTTTTAATTTTTTGATGTTTTTTTAAATTTGCTAGCACCTGTTAAAATTTTAAAACCGATCATGTAGAAAGAAGCAGGAGTGATTTCTATAGTAAATAGCACTAAATGTTGAAGAAAGTCATCTTCTATGATGCTTAACTGCCCAGCTTGACATTAGGAAGAAAAGAAGGTTCATTTAAGCAAATACGTCGTGTGAGGAGCTAATACAGTCAACAGTATACTTTTCTGTTGCATATTTTTGGAATAGGTACTTCTTTGTCTACAGCTGAAACATGAATGTGCTTATATTAATATTCATTTTTCTTGTTTATTCACTGAACTGCAGTACCAACATTTTAGAGGAAATGGAATAGCCTCCATAGACATTATGAATTTCAGTAGCTGGCATAATTATAGCGATCTACATATTCATTAAATCCAAAGAAGAAATGTGTCCAAAAAGACAGCCATGCGTTTAGAAGTGGTACACAACTAAATATATACATTTTAAAAAAGTTCCTTTCCTGGCTTATCCGATATGGTGTAATATCATATAGTCCTTAAATCAGCTAAAGCTTGTTTTTTGTTTAAATGTTTGTTCCTTTTGCTTTTGCACACAGCAAAGAATGGGAAGAACTATTTGTAAACAACAATTACTTGGCAACTATACGGCTGAAGGGGATTAATGGGCAGCTGAGAAGCAGCAGGTTCCGTAGTGTTTGCTGGAAGGTAAGAAGAGAAAATATTTATTTACAGTTTGTGGTTGCAATATATCAACACATTACGTGATGCGCTGGAAGATTATTGATGCAAAGAATCATGAATTTTCCGACAGACTTCATCCCAGTGTTTTCCTACACATTTTTATAATTCATAGGACATTTTCTAATCATACTGAGTTGCCTTAAAGCTGAATTGCAGGTGATAGCAAAATACTCCTAGGAAAGAATATCCTTGTACTGGGTGGTGTGTTTAGGATTGAGTGCCACACACCACCTCCTCTCAGTCTCTCTGCAGTGAAGTTGTGTGCTAGAAATAAAAATGAAGTTTTGTCTCAAAATTTGTGTTTTGAGGAACTTGGGACTCCTTTAAAATCAGGCTGATGCTTCTGCTAGCAGCTTTTCCCAATGAAATAAGATAGTGAAGATGAGTAGAGAAGGAAGTCAAATCTTCCAGTATTAAAACACAACTTTTTTTTTTTTACTATATTTTTTAAAGTTGCAGGAGAAGGAAGAGAGAAAGAAAGCAAAGTAATACTTTGATGCTATATAAAGTCAAAAATAATTTTGTTGCACTGGGATCAGGTCTTCTTTTGTGCACTAACTATGACAGTAGAGAACATTTTCCCTAGTAGAGTTACTGTATGTTAGCACTGATAATTCAAATTACCTCACTTGGAATTTCTCAAGCTTCACTTTGGCATGAAGACCTATAAAAAGAAAATGAAAATACTCTTTGTATATGAATGAAAGAAATTTGAAATGTATGTAGCAGTGAACAAATTTAAAGTTAATGAAAATACTTTCTTCAGGAGGCCAGATGAATGTATGGCACAAGGATTATTTTACCAGCCTGCTTCTTCTTGTGCCTCTAAATTAGGAGGCCATAACTCAAACCCCTGAACTAAGAAAAGCATCAAGTCCTTCACTGTTCGCTAATTAAGCCAAGGAGTGGTTTTATTTTAGAAATCGGGTTGGTTTTATTTTCATGTCCAGATATGGGTTAGGGCTCTGGTTTAGGCTGCCTGTTTTAAATATATTATCTATGTTTTTCTTAAGTTCTGAAATATTTTTGGTAATTTGGGAATGTTTTTTGTTTGTCAGCATTTACTGTTTCTTAACACTTTATAATGTGTAAATAAAAATATTTTAAAAACAAGAAAATACTCTGTGTTTCTTCTTTATTTTCTATTCAATCAAATGTTATTTTCCAATAGCTTCTAACCATTTTTAAACAGAAATGTGAAAGAACTGTAATGTAGGCATTCTCAAAGACTCTTGCAAAATTGACTCTCTTAATTGTCTTGCAGAATTCTAGAGTGTGTTTCGTTTCTATAGATTAAGATTTTCCCTTTTCCCATTTCTTAGGTAGGGTAATATCTCTGAGTGTTTAGTTTCTGCTCTGCATTCATGCTTGATTTTAAAGAAGTTGCATTAGGTCATCAATGTTCTGTAAATAGCTTCTAGTTTTGTATATTTATTTGCATTTCTTTGCATTTTCTTTCTGCCTTGGAAGTCTCAGTCAAGTCTTCTGATTTGTGACAGTTTACAAAGCTTGTGTTTGTGGCTTCAGTTGTCTTTAATGCTTTATTTCATACAGTAGAACTGCTACTATTTCTGCCTTCGTATTTATTGACAGGAAAATAATAAAGCCAGGGGTATCTTGTAGGTCTCTGTTTTCTTCTTACGTGTAGAGTACTTGCTTCTCCTTGCTGAGATGGTTTATGCTGTCTAGTAGGATTTATATGAAAAGCTCTGTTAAATTTATGAAACTTAATGGATTCATCTTGTTTTGTTGATAGTTATTTCTGGAGGTTCTACCCCAAGACAGAAGTCAATGGATTAAAACCACTTCAGACCTAAGAACTTCTTACAATAAGATCAAAGAAATTGTAAGTTGGCACAAAATAGGTTCTCTACTCTCATACTTTGACTTAGACATTAATACTTACAGTGTAGCAGGAGAGGCTTTGATTTTTTTCTCTTTTTACCCAGCACATCACAAACCCTCGGAAAGCGGGACAGCAAGATCTGATAATCAACAATCCACTGTCTCAGGATGAGGGGGTGAGTTGACCCTTGTTTCTATCAACACAGGTGCTACTAACATTATCATCATCATTCTGACACGAGTTCTTGCTGAGGAAAGCAAAATGGCAGGTGCTAAAATCTCTTTCTTAAATTTCCAAACTGACTTGTGTTAACAATTCGTTCGCAGGCTCAGCTGCGAACAACCAGAAATGCTCATTTCCAGGTTAATATTCTGATTTTTCAGGGAGATTGTGATGAGCAAAAAAATCAGGGCTGGACTGCAAGTCCAGTTTCACAGCATATGTTTTCTTTAACCAATGTGCCTTTTTACTGCTGTGTGTTTTCATTTTATATGTAAAATGGCTTTAGTTGAAGGAGTGTAAACAGTCAATATGAAGGGACTGCTGTTAACAGCAAATACTAAAGAACCCTCTTCTGGAAGACTGTTCAGCCTTGGAAGTTTTTCTCCAGCAAAAATAGAATTGTTCTGTATCTTGAGGTGTATATGTGCTGAATTAATGTTTAAAGTACCAGGCTGCAAGATAGGCTTTTCTTCCAATGTTTTTCTTTTTCTTTATCGTTGAATGAAATAAGTTTCTTTTCTAATCCAGAAGGAGCCAGCTCCAATTTTAAAGAAATACTAAGTATATGGTAAAAGTATTTGGCCTGACTGTCATTAAGTGCAGAGCACCCAACTCACTGAAATTAACAGGATCTCCTAGTAGCTTGGAATTTTAAAAGTCATGACACTTTGAATAGGGCTAACATAGATTTGGGGGCTTAATTTTGAACAACTTTTTTGTTTGGGTGGTTGGGTTTTTTCTTTATGATGGTTTTCTACTGCATTTTCTAATACCTGAGAAGCTCTTAAGTATTTTAAAGCACGTATCTTTATGCTTTCCTGTTAATTGTTATCATCTTTGGATTTTTTCTAAATCAAACTTAAGAGCAACTTAGTACCATGAAAATAATTTTTTTGGTTGCATTAAGAGATTTACACCTTTAAAGACTGTTGCAGGTATCATTGGTGATACTATTTATACTTCCATTTTGTTCTCAAACAGAAGCTCATATTTTGTTTGTAGTTGGTACTCTGCTTCATATTTAACGCAGAAGGAGAACGATTTTCTTGTTGAGACATGGAAGTGTTGATAGGCATGTTGGTGGCTCTGCAGCCACTATGACTGTGCATGCCATCAAACCATTCTTGCATCCAGCTGGACAGAAAGTTGTGCCAAATATGAAAGATTTAAAGTATTTCTGCTTTAGTTTGGGATCATACACAGTGGCTTAACCTTCTTTCTGCCTGTGATGTCTTTTAGAAGACAAGGGTTGACATGTCATAGTATGTGGCAGGGGATTCATCTATAAAACAAAGCCACAGGCCAAATCAGGCCTAGGAATGGAGAGCAAAGTGCCTTTGAGCCTCTGCAGTGACTTAAATGTTTACCCTTTCAGTGTCCTGGATTTTGTTTCCTCTTCGCATGCAGATTCTGTTTCCTTTATGCATTTTGCTGATGGACTGGGATGGGAGCAGGGGCAGGGAAGTTTCAAAAAGTGATCTAGCTGCATGAAAAGAGCTGTGAGTTAAAAAGATACTAGTTTTATGTAAGACATTGTCAAGTATATGAATACTATTAAAGTTTAGGGGTTTTTTTTCATAGTTTGTAACACAACTATAGAAGCTAATTAACTTGTTCTTTGTTATTTTACCTTCTTCTGCTAGATAACACTAATTTACTTTCTCTTTCCTTTCTGTGGACCATAAGCCACCATGGTAATGAATTGTTTCTGCAATTCTTGAAGTATTATATCAGCTCTCTTTGTACGGTATTTCATTCACTGGTGCTGTTGCTATCTGAAAACTAACCTGCATTAGAAGTCTGCTATAGATTTTGTTCAATATTTTGATCAATATGGCCAAGCTACCATCTCGTTACAATAAAGAATAGGCTTTGGAATATTTTTTTCTAGAGTATACAGACAACAATATTTGCTGACTTCTTTCAGGTTAGCTTTTGCAAAATATTGGTAAACAAGACAAGGAAACCAAAGAAAGAAAATGGAAATCATCGTAAGCACACATACAGAAGAAACTAAATCTACTTTGAACTCATTGATTTATTTATTTGTTTGTTTGTTTCTTTTGTGTCAACAGTGAGCTTTAAATATCCTGGGTTTTCCCCACCAGAACTTTTTTTTAGAATGGCTAGTCTCGACCTGCCCTGTGTATATGTACCATTAGAAGTATGTCATCTTCATATGCCTCCACCAAGACAAACTAGCTTAATTCCAAACAATTTCTTAGTATGGAAATTATGGGAGCATCCATTTAAAGCACATACATTCATCGGAGGAATGTAGTACAGTACGGTACCTTTTTTTCCAGGCATGAACTATTGAATTTTTTTCAGTTGAGCTGCTGGTTCTAGTAAGTTTTAATTTATTCTGCCTTTATTAACAGTCTTCGTAGATCCCTTACAAGTAACTCACAGACCAACCATCCAGTGAGCAAATGGAGTGAGCCTAGAACAAGGATCCAGGAACTTGAATGTTTTCATCTCTGATCTAAACTGACTTTCTCAGATTCATTGGGCTGATTCACAAATGTTACTTCATTAGGCTTGTCACCAACATATGTACCAATACTGATATACCACTCTACCAGGAATTTTGAGGATTAATTAGTTAATATTTGTGCAGTATTTTGCTGATGTAGTATATTAGCCGGAGCTATTAGTAGAAGTCTCTATTTCATACAATTATTTTTCCTTATTTTAGAGTCTTTGGAATAAATTTTTCCAGGATAAAGAGCTTCGAGCAATGATTGAACAAGATGTGACAAGAACGTATGTAGATCTTTACAGAAATTTCTATACATAAACTTAGATTCTGCATTTTTATGTGTTATACATTATATTGTGTTTTCTTGACTTTGGTTAGTGTAAATGTCAGAATTGTTAAACATGAATGTGTGGAAACATATATTAAATGTATAAAAATACAGCTCTCTCGGAGTGAAAAATGAGAAAATTGAGTTAAACATTAAACCACGGAGATTTACTGGTATCATTGAAGAAAAGCTCTTCTAAATTAAGATATTAAGAAATGTATTACTATATGAAATTTAAAGCAGAGTTTCACATATGAAGCAAAGAGAAAGTAAGAGAAACTAAAAGCTCTTTTAACTAAATTATGATCATTATAAAATATCAAACATATTATTTTCTTTAATTCTTAGCAATCAATAATTAAAAAATAAACAGTTTGCAATTAGTAAGGGAAATGTCACTCATCTAGAGAAGTTAAGCTTTTCTATTTTTATTTCTCACTTTTCTAGTGTTATTTGTCACATATGCCTTTTAAAAATTGTCCTAATATTACTGTGATTATGTTTTCATCTTCTTGGCCCTTAGGTCATTCCTGTTGAGGAACTTGTTTGAGTTAGAACACTCAGTTCCTGAAAACATTTCTTTTCAGAGTGGAAGCATTGACTGATGTGTAAATCTAATTAAATTCAATTACTGGTTTGCTACCATGTGAAATTTTACTGTATTGCAAATATTTTTCCTTATAACTTGAAAAAAAGTGGTGATAGTCATAGATTTTACAAATCCCAAGCTCACACATTTTCATTTACAGAAACCAAGTCATGCAGAAGAAATCATCGCTGTCTGGTTTTGGAATATTTTATGTGCCCGTCCCTAGACCCATTCTTGAATGCATTTTGCCATGAGATATATAATTAAAATCTGAGTATGCTTTCATGTGCATTCTCACAACAGATGGTATTTTTTGTTTGTTAAAGGAAACAGATCAGGATGTTCTAAGATTAAAATATATACGTATCTAAACTATAATTGGAGAATGAAAAGTTCTATGGGGGTTATGTTGGATGTAAGATTGTTATTTAAAAATATGTATGTAGACACTAAGTCCATGGGAAGTGGCAGGGTGAGTAATATTCACTAATATCAATAATGGTGTCCAAAGATATTTCCATTTATGTATTTGTATAAAATAATGTCTACTTGAAACAATAACAGCATACATTATGTGTCATCAATATCAAAATAAATCAGACAATGAAGGAGCAAAATTAAGCATCAAAGTAACATGAATTTATTTGATAAACTACATGTATTTATATAGACACTTGTTGTTTGCCTAATCATAAAACATAGCATGCAGTTTATATATACATGTGTATCTGTTTGTAAACTGTCAATGTAAGAAGCAGTAAGTTCTACATTCCTTGGCTTTGGAATGTAAGTACCCTCTATTACATCTCGTCCTTTTCATTTCCATTCTTTAAATAAATTTCTGGATCTGTCATTAACTTACAATGCTTTTTATGATAGGCAGCCCAGAAAACCAACTGTATCCTAGGCTGCATCAAAAGGAGCATGACCAGCAGGTTGAAGGAGGTGATCCTGCCCCTCTACTCTGCTCTTGTGAGACCTCACTGGGAGTATTGTGTACAGTTCTGGTGTCCTCAACATAAAAAGGACATGGAACTGTTGGAACAAGTCCAGAGGAGGCCACGAGGATGATCAGGGGACTGGAGCACCTCCCCTATGAAGATAGGCTGAGAAAGTTGGGGCTGTTCAGCCTGGAGAAGAGAAGGCTGCATGGAGACCTCATAGCAGCCTTCCAGTATCTGAAGGGGGCCTATAGGGATGCTGGGGAGGGACTCTTCATTAGGGACTGTAGTGACAGGACAAGGGGTAAAGGGTTAAAAGTTAAACAGGGGAAGTTTAGGTTGGATATAAGGAAGAAATTCTTTACTGTGAGAGTGGTGAGGCACTGGAATGGGTTGCCCAGGGGGGTTGTGAACGCTCCATCCCTGGCGGTGTTCAAGTCCAGGTTGGACAGAGCCTTGGGTGACATGGTTTAGTGTGAGGTGTCCCTGCCCATGGCAGGGGAGTTGGAACTAGATGATCTTCAGATCCTTTCCAACCCTAACTATTCTATGATTCTGTGGTAGCCTAAAATAATTTAGTATTATGTTCAGTTACATAATCATTACCTTCTAGCTTCTGTTTCTAATTTAGGGAATATTTTATATTCTTTGTCACCCAGTTCAGTACTCCGTCATCCAACAGCATCAAGTAAATAATGCTGTAGAGAGTGACGCTAACTGCACAGAGTAGCAAACCTCTACAGATCAAAGCAGTTAAAAATTTAACTTCATAATGTCTTTATTAGAAGTCTCTGAAGTGTAGTCATAATAGGTGGGAGAAAATTCATAGAAATACGCTTTTAAACTTGGTACTGGTTTAAATTGGTTTGTGTGTGTGTATGTATGTACCTGAAGAATTCTAGGACACAAATCACATCTTCCTAAAGTAAATGTCTAGTACTGAAGTCTGATAAATCACACTGTAGAGTAGTATGTTTTTCTGCAGTAATTATAAAGGGCTTCTAGGTCACTTGAACCTAACTGCGTCACCTAAAGTCAGGAGAGGCAAGCCATAATGTCTAAATACAGTTTTTTTGCTGGTTGCATAATAAGAATTTCCAATATTTCCAAGGGAAGTAGGGAAGGATTTGGTTGAGTTAGTCCTAACTCTGGTGATCAACAGTTCCATTTAATCACCTGACTTGCTTGTTTATGGGATTTGAGAGGTTCAGAATGGATTTTCCTTCAGCCGCCTAGAAACACGTACATTTGAGCTGGAACCAAACACCATCTCTTTCTAAGTGAGAAGCTTCTAAAAATGAGGGTGGGAGAGAGGGTAAGAGAAGTTTACTATAAATCAGGTAAAAGCCTTACTTTAAATGTAGATAGCAGTATCAACCAAGTTATGACTATAATACTGCATTCTATTGTTCTACTAAAAAAGGAACGTGCATGAACTAGCACCATGGTAACTCATAACAGGCTTAGGAATGCAGTGATTAATTACTGTCAGTCAAAAGATGTACCAAGAAACAATGCAGATTTATTTTGAGATGATTAAGCAACTAAGTGATAAAGAAGAATTTTTGAAAACATTCTCCAGAAATGGAGAAATCTGAAGATTGGCAGATGCAAGAGCATCTAACTACCAGTCAAAACAAAACACCAGTCTACTTGCTGGCATCACTTTGTACATCTAAGATTATAAATGGTTAGATTTTATTACCCTCTTTCTCTTTGCAGTATTTTAAACAACAAAATGCTTAGGGAGCATTCCCAGTAGACTAATCAAGTGGATTTCTTTTCTTCTGTAGTAGTGTTTTTATGTATTGGTGTACCTAGTTTTTGCTGCAGAAGTAACAGTCACAATTTAGGGCAATGGAAACTGTGGAGATGAGTAGTGGTGGGTGCTGTTGTTTCAAAGTCCATCCCCCAGATAACAAAAAAAAAAACCAAACCCACCTAAAAAAGAGGTAGCGAGGAAAGCAGCTGCATCCTTCCTAAACATGTAGAAGAGATGGGAAGAAACAGCAATCCATTAAGTTTCAGGGGACAAATTCTAGTTTCTGTGTAAGAGGATGGACTGCTGGAAGAAAGATCTATCTTTATACACCAATTTATTCCTTTTCAAGATAAAAGTGAGCAACGAGGGAGGAGTGGGGAGTTATTATTATCCTTTACCAAACCTTTGCAAGAGCATCTTGTTTTTTTTCTGGTTTAGTATCTTTCCCCATTCCAGCTGAGTAACAGCATTGGGGAATGGCGGGGAATGGAGTCTGTGAAAGAAAGATGGTCATTCCATGGCTGTGGTTAAGAGCCTTATTCCTGTCTGTCACCAAATTTGTTTTATAAAGTATTTGTGCATCCTTTTATTTGGTTGGCAGTCTCTTTCTTCTGTGTCAAAGTCTGGCTTGCCTCTGGTGCATGGGACCCTAAGTGGGCTAAAGGAATGTATTAGAAAATTGTAACTAACTTGCAATGGTGTTTGCTTTCAGACAGCAGGGACTTGAATGCACTGTTGTTTAATTGTAGTGGTTGTGGTAAAACAGTCTAGCAAAATTCCCATATCCTTATGTAGTCTTTCTCAGAAACGTAATTAAACGTAATATTCCAGTGCTCATGAAAAGTCTCCTTACCTTGTCTGATTTGGGATACTGTATTTCTAAAACAGTGCTTTAATCATGAAATGACATTCTCAATAAAAATCCATCCTGAACTGATAGTTCCTTTGTGATCTCTTGTATTTACATTTACTATAATTAATACTTCAGCCAGCTTATTCCTGAGTTCATTATTATCTTTTGTGTAACAATCTCTGATATTATTAGATCCTCACAGATATGTCTGTGTATTTTGGGGTTTTCTTTATTAGTCTTCTTTTCCTAAACTTCTTAGGGCAGGCCTGAATAACAGTCCTTCAGAAATAATCTCTTCAAAACCCTAAATTATGTTGATTGCCATCTGCCGTAATGCACTTTTGGTCTCAGCTGTGTCCTTCCTTTACAGTAATATGATTAGTACAACTGCATACAAGTTTCCAAATGTTGGTCTACCATTACCCCCACCAGGTGCCAGGAAAATGCTACACCTTTCATCCCAATGCCTTCCACAGGCCTTCAGTATTGCTATGTGTAAGCCAGCGTCTCCTCTGCCTTGGCTCTTAATTTAGGTCCTCCATCCAAGGATTTCAAAGCACTTTTCTAGCCTTAATTAGTTATGGTTTTGTGCTCACCTGTCATCACCTCTGTGAGATGACTACAGTAATTATTAACACTAATAGTTTTATCTAAAGTAATTCATTAAAGTTCCCTATATTCTTTCTCTGTGACAGGCTTTACAACAGCCTTGCTATAACTAATCTAAAGTTTAGCATTGTAACTTAGACTTGGGAAGGAGGAAAAAGAAAATTTGCTTGAAGAAAATTTATCTACAGTCTGTGTGATTTCATCTCAAAACTGACAATACTATATAGCCTTTATGTCAGCAATCTAGCCTGAGGGTTACTATGTTGTCTTTTTAAGTAATCTTCTGGTTTTCTTTGTCCAGTTTGATCTTTTCCTTTTAGTATCCTACCTTTCCAGATTTTTTTGGTTTTGTTTTTGCTCCGTGTAGCTGGATGTGGTTTGGGGTGGTTGCTTTATGAAACATTTTTTTCCATCTAGTTACTTTTTCATTAACCATGAAAAAAAAAAAACGGTTTTGTTTGTGCACTTATTCATTAAGGTATGTCCTGCACAATCACCTTATTTCCTGCCTCCAACATTTAAGGAGCAGGATGCGCAGGTGAAAGTTGAACCAGAATAGTTACAGACTGTAAATAGTTACATTTTCCTGGATTATACGCAGATTTTCCCAGCTTCTTCTCTCTTATTCTGACACTAGGTCCACTTCATCCTATGTCTCTAAAGGATATTTGCCAAACTGTCAAATGATTTCATAATTGTAAAATTTATTTGAGGCAGGTACTAAAAACAGTGAAATCCCCAATAATGTTGCATCACAAAAGATGCCAGTAAGATACATTGGAGCTTAGGATACTGGTTTTAATGTCAATTATGAGATTCATTAACCATTGAACATTTGTGTATATGCTTCTGACACTCTTCTTCCTTCCATTTTTTTCCAGTATAACTGGAAAGATTACAAACTTCCTTAACTTACTGTAGCTCTTACACTCTTCCTTTGCCTGAGCTTTATCTTGAAAAAATGAAGAACAGGGCTGAGCGCTATTAGTGAAACTGCAGGGCAGACTGATGATGCAGTTACAGTTGCCAATTTAACACCGATTAAAAAAAATGGAGGATGTTATAAAAAGTATGGTTTTTATCTATGGAGAATTGATCTTTGGTGCTTATTTTTCCAGTGTCTGGATGAAATTAATCAGTAGGTAACAGTTTGCAGCTGGTTTAGTTTTAACTGAATAGTTATTCTGAGGGGAATTGTTGTTGCTTGGATTTTTTGATCACGCTCCTTTTCTAGAAAGTTTTAGATTCACTGGTGAAGGACTTGGTAATTGATGGAGCACAGTCTTTGCGTTAAGTTGCTGTTGGGATGCTGTACCACCTGGAACCAGAATGGTCGATTGGCCTGCTAGGCTTAGTACTAGTTCCTGTCCGCAGGAAGTGGGTAGATTTTTGCGTCAGTCATTGCCTCTCATTCTATTTTTTTTCATTCTGTATCAACTCAATTTATTTTCATGACATTGAGAATCAAAGGAACCTGATTCTTTAGGCAGGAACATACTCATATACTTCATTGTTTAATTTTGCTGAGGTTCATTTTCAGTGGATTGGGTGTTTGTAAGGAGTTGGTGATTAAAGCAATCTGCCGCTGTACTTGCAGATCTCTAGTTTTCATAATATTAAAAGGGATTGCTTATTTAAATATAACTGGTGATACCATCATCCTCTCAGTGGACTGATGTATATTAAAGAACGTGGTTCAGAATTTTGGCTACAAAAATACTTCTTTAGAAGTATTCTTGCTCTGTCAGCATCCACAATTCACAGAGCAGTGCGAAAGCAGACAAGGGAAGGTGCTGTCATACCTAAAACCACTTCTAGAAGACCAGCGACTGAGATTCTGTGTGCTGTAATGTTCATTTTCACTGTATTTCTTCATTTTCAGCTTTCCTGAAATGCAGTATTTCCAGCAAGAGAATGTGAGAAAAATTCTTACAGATGTTCTGTTCTGCTACGCCAGAGAAAATGAACAGTTGCTTTATAAGCAGGTAATGAAAATCCTGTACAGGTGGCATTCATTGACTCAACATTTTCTATACGGTTTGGCAATAATGTAGTTCCGTTGTATCTGAAGTTGTATCATAATGCTAAAGTAATCAAAGAGCTGCTTGTCAGCTGGATAGTAAGAAAAGTAAGCTCATAGAATAACATATGCTTTTTCCTCATAACACAGTCCCTCAAATTGTTTTCTTTAAGGTTGCTAAGTTGTGTTGTCTAACTTCAAATTTTTTTATAAACAGCATCTTTTTCTTCAAAGTAGGCCAAGAAAGAAAAATAGAAAGGCTTTCTCTGCTTAGGCAAAGAAAGACAGTATGCAGCAGGATTAAAAATGGTACTGAATAAACAAAAAAATAGTGACTTTTGAAATTCAGGCATTACTATTTTAACTTTTACATAATATTTGAAGTTACTCCTCAAAGTCCTAAAGTTGTGCACTACGTTAGTGAATAGATCTTTTATCTAACCCTGTAGCATCCAAATACAATGCAGCTGACAAATGCCTCTTGACTGAAGGATAAGGGTGCTGCAAATACCAGTTTTACAGTGTTACCTGAGGGAGAGCCTGCTCAAACCATTTTTGATAAAATGGTAAAGAAAACCTTAAAGCTGCACTAACTGTGCGTCCATATGGGATGCAGGATAATTTAATTCAACATTTTTTCTGAAGGTTTTGAAGTGACAATAAGCTTGATACTAAATTAATATAGCAAGACCAATATGCAGAATATACAGAAGTTTATTTGTATGTTTCTTCAGGCTCTTATCAGTGCGGTGAGTAGGGACTGACAAACTGAGGGATACTCTGTGTGCACTGACAAATGATAAACTGTAAAGCAGCAAATTTTAGGTAGACAAAAATGTTTTCATGACAAAAATACAGAGGTTTAGTAAACGTGAAGGTTTTTAGAAGACACTGTAAGCTTTCAGGCATGGTCTTTGACCACTCTATACTCAAGCCAGGAAATTAGTGGTGTTTTGTGAGAAAAAAAAAAAGGATGCATGTGAGTTGCAGGAACAGTTATTTTTGAAGAACTATTTTACAGCTTGTAACAAAAATCAAATATATAATTGTCAAACACATGAAATCTCTATCAGCTAGTTATTTCTCATTTTTGACAGACTATGAATAAGTGATAAGGTTTGCATGAGAATAAGAATGAGATTTGTGAATTGCATTTTGAAGGGCACTACTAAAGTAAACACTTCAACAGTATTCAGCCTTCCCCTTCTAGTGAATATAGTCCAGAGTACTGATGATGGGAGAATGGAAGAACACATTCCAGCTAATGTAGTCTATCATTTATTGAACAAGAAGTATTATTTTACTCTTTGATATGACTTAAAAGGACTTAATTACCCTCTGCTCATATTTAAAATCCTCTTGATTCCTTACCAAGGAATAACACCTTTTACATAAGAATAGAATATTTAGCCGGATCAAATTTAAAACAAAACAAAAAAAAAAGCCCTGTGTTTCATCACAAGCTGTTAAAGCTGTTATTTTCTACTAGGTGACACCCCGTTTAACATAGACCATATTGTTAATAGTTATGGGATTTTATTGAATTAATGAGAGTGTTATCATGTAGTAGAATGTCTTGCTGAGTTAATTGAAACTGCAGAGATTATATAAATGGTATTAATGAACTTTGACTGCCTGATGCCTCAGCTTTAATAAAGACTGCTTGGTGGGCTAAATGAACATAGGCAGATAAAAGAACAGGTTCAATTTTGCAAGCCTACAGGCTGTTGACAAAGAAAACTTCTTTACCTCTGTTTTCAACTGGTGTTCGTCAGTAGTGCAGTAATTCCAGGAAGTGGTTGCTATAAGACTAAGGGGAAAGGTTAAGTGCAGAAAATGAAATAAATCTGGATCATGAAAGACTGTTGATTTAATCTCTCTGAAGTGTGTTCAGTGTATCACCCAAAGTCTTGTGGTGCTGTGCCAAGTCTACAAAATGGCAAATGACTGTGGTTTTCCTCTCGTGTTGTGGACATGTGTCACTTTTATTAGGAGCTTTTATTTTTTCTTTTTAAAAGGGTTTGTTTGTTTGTTTTGTTAATTAATGCTCCTGCTAGCTAACTAGTAACAATCCTGCTTTTTTGTCACCATGTCCATCTCCTTTTAGGTAACATTTTTCTTTCATGTCCATAAGTACCCTTCTCTAAATTGGGTAATAGGAAATAGAGTTTGGGATGGTGACAGGAGGTTGTGTTTTCCCTCTTTTGGCAAATACCTATCTTGCAATCAGTCTTCCTGTACTACTATTTTTATTGGTTCTGTTTTCACCATTGACTCAAGCCCCACTTCCCATAATAATTACCACTACATCAAAGTCCAGCATATTTTCTTGAAAATAATGAAGGTTACCATTAATTCATCGATAACAGATCACCTCCATGCTGCTCTCCCTCCACAGTTACCTGAATACAAAGTTCAAATTAAGGAGTTTGTCCTCATATTCAGTATCAATCCTGAGATTGGTCCTGTTATTCTCTATGGGAATTCCTCTGTCTCATTTGTATGACTGCATGCAAGAGCTACATTTCGTATTAGAATTATAACACTTAGCCACTAAATGAAAACTCATACTTCTGTCTGTCAGCATCAGTACAGGACCTGATGTTTCCCTTTCAAAATACTTGGAAAAAGTTTTAGTTCCTTGACAATTTGCATACTTGTAAATAAAATACATCTGCAGTTTACAACATTTCATTAAAATTATTACATAGCATCAGCCATATAGTCTTACAAGCAGCAATCAATAATGTTTGCTTAATATGCATATATGCATGAAGTTGTCTTTATAGTAGGGTTCATGGTTTTTTTGACCAGCAGGAAGTAACATTTTATTTGATGAGGAAAAAAATATTCCTGTCCCTAGTCAAATGGAGTAGGATGTTGTGAATCTGTATGAGAGATTTTAAAGACAGAATCCTCACAGGGATCGTTGAATTTTTAAATAGTAGCTGTAAATATAACATCTAAAGAGAATAGCACATTGTACTTAAGAATATATAAAAATTACTGTTAGCATTCTTCTGTAAGACTGGTGACAAAATTCTGGTCCTAGTTAAACTGAAAAGAAGTAGTGACAATTAAGCTAAATCACTAGGCTAACTGTTGTTTACTCATGATTTGATTGCTAGAGATGTCAATATAATTTTGAAATGCATTGATCCGGTTTTCATTGTCAAAATGCTGCATTTCTGGTTTTCTTTTTAAACCATAGAATGTATTATGAAATCAATATTTTGTTGTAGCTGGGGAGTGTCATAAAATTATCTGAGCTTTGTCAACTTTTTTATTAACACTAAAGTTTTAGTAAACTGCAGCACTGAAAAAATAAGTGTATGCATATTATACTGGTATCTTTTCTTGCCAAGCTAAAAATCTCTAAACATTTGAAGTACTACTGTAACTGAAAGATCAGAGGTATCTTTTTGAAATCCCAATATTTCATCATCTGTTTGTTTTGTTTTTGTTGTATGTGGGCAGCCACATCATGATTCTACTTCATTACAAAGTTGATACATTATTATGTTGGAAGAACGTATGATGTGCTTTTATCTTTTATAACTAATTCTTATTTTATGTCCTCTTTCTTCAGCTTATAAGTTTACAGCTCAGGTGGTAGCTTTATTAGACAGTCAAGTTTTTGGCATTTCCATTTCTCATATTTCATGTTAGTATATCAGGGTGAATAAAAGATTAGACGTGGAGCTGTTAATTATCTGAGGGCTGTGAGTATGTCGGAAAGTACAACCTGGGTTATCCGTAGTTTATTTAAATGCTGTTTTCACTTACATTTCTTTTCTAATCCTTTCCCTTTCTCCCTGTCCGTACTATTCCTTTCCCTCTTGGTATGACCACAAGACTTCCAGAAATCTAAAGTTGGCAGTTTGCAGTCTAACCAATATTGTTGTGCTTGGGAATTCTAGATCAGCTCCTGAAATCAAGTGGCTACACCGGGCTTTTTCCTAATTGAATTTCTCTTCAGCCTTCATCTTTCTAAGTAGTCTCTAAAGGTTCAAAAATAGGAAAAGAAAGAAAACATCCAAACTTCTGTAGTTTTTCTTGTCTTTAGCTTTGCCCAGTCACCTGACTGCTATTGCTGCAACCTTGCAGTTGAGGCTTTAACAGTCCTGATCTCAGTCCTGAAGAATCTGAAGTTAAATTTTCTAGGATTCCAAGTAATAGGACACAGAGAAATTTTCAAACCTCTTTTTTTCTTTTTTTTTTTTCCCCTTCAACACTGCTAGGTATTGGAATTCCCTCTTATGAACAGATAAGAATCACTAACATGGAATTAGCTGCACACTCAAATACAAGTTATTGCACACTCAAAAATGAGTTAGACAGGGCTTCCACATCCACCTCTCTGCTCAGTTTGGACCACTTAAGGGAAATTCCCATTATTTCCAATAAAATTTAAAGGGTTTTAGTAGTTAATAGATCTGTTTGATACACATGAAGCGAATAAGCTAACTCAGTGATACTGAATACTTCTCAAATGCTGCATGGGATATCAACTGGTATACCAGCAAGGCAGCAGGGTAGCTGCACAAGCATGTATCTCTATCATTGCTCATGTCTGTCCATAACTGAAAGAGCTGGAAAAGCAAGTGGAGAGAATCCCTAGCTTGGAACTACAAGCATAAAAAGCACCAATTATCTGACTCCTAACAGCAATCTGAAATGCCTGTGAGTTTGATAGTCCAGCAGCCCCAGTGCTTTCTGCCAACAGGGTAGACAAGATGGTCTTCCTGGCATTGCTGTCTGCCCAGAGCACTCACCTGGAACTGGGACTGAGGTTCCACTTGGTGAGGGAGTTGCAGCTTTGAACTGGAGCACAGCTGGGCAAGAACTCCATCCAGAGTGACACCCAGCAGGAGTAGCCTGGGCACCCGGCACCAAGCCCTGGCTCTGGTTGGTAGTTTTGGGCTGAGGTTAGGATTTCCCTTCCCTTGCAGTAATCCCTGTGTCCAGAGGCCATCAAACACATCTCAACCCTTCATACCACATCCCATCCATCATGGAAGGACTCTCCCCACTACTTCTGTATGGCTGAACCCGAACCCAAACCCCAACCTGTAGCTTGCATAGTTCTCACCTGCTGTCCTAGTCTACCACTGGGAGCCCAACTCCCTTGGCATAACCAAATTCCTTAGTTATGATACCTCAAATCCTCCTTTTCCCTGATCTAATATGAGGGAAGGGGCTGAATATCTGCTGAAGACAAGGTTTCATTGTGCAGGCTATTGTTTTACCTGCCAGTGTGTTGCAGCTTGCCAACTGGATTGCTTGTTTCCGGAACTGGTTGCTTCTGCTTCTGATAACAAATTGACAAGCCCCAGGTGTACTAAAGCAAATCAAGACCCCTTTTTTTGTTCCTGGTGAGCTCTGGATAAAAGCACCAATAGCTGGCCTGGGAGGCCCAACCATGTTTCTAATGCTGGCCCAAGTCCTCAACTATCCGTCCTGTTCTGATGCCTGTATGTTTCTGTATTTTTTCTGTATCTTCATATAGATTGCATGTACTAGTAATTGCCTACAATGAAACAGTACCAGGTCTCCTACGCATTATGTTATAATGAGTTTATTTTTAATACTGACATACCAGCTTTAGAAAAACCCAAAAAACCAAACACTCATTTTCTTTCCCATGTCCATAGGAATGGAATTTTTCTGATTTTCCCAATCGCATCCCTTGTCTCCTCTGAAGGCTACTGTTACGCTTTTATCTATGGTTTTGGAAATTATCAAATAAAAAATAATTTTAAATTTCGAAATTTGTCCCTATTGCAGGTCTTTGTACTGTGGATCATGATTGTAATTATCATAAATAAAATTCATATTTATGAACATAGATCTTGGAGTAAACTGCCAGGTGCAGGGTTGCCTACCACTGCCAATTTGTTTTCTGTTGTGGTAGAAAAAGGGAGAATAACTTGTTTCTGTATATTATATAAGAATAAACACTTGGATTTAATCAGACTTTAAGATAAAAGCCATTGATTATGAAACTGTTCCATTAAGAATGTAAATTGTCTTGCTTTTACTTAGTCTGCATCAGATATTGCTGGCTGCCTGATGCTACCCATTAGGAACTATTATATGACTGTAAAATCTTACTATACTTTTGCTTCCTTTTATTTTTAGGGTATGCACGAACTTTTAGCTCCCATTGTCTTTATCCTGCATTGTGACCATCAAGCTTTTTCACATGCCAGTGAAGCTGCACAACCAAGGCAAGCATTGTGTTTTATTTGTATAGCATTAAAAAGCTGCTTTCTTAAAAATTAATAAATAAATAAGTTGGCTGGACTTGAACTTTTAAATATGCATTTCTTAAGTCTTTGTTTATAATGGGTAAACTGATACCAGAAATTGTTACATTTTCATGGTTTTATGTAAATGACCTTATTTCATCTTCCATACTACATCTGCTGAAATGGAGATTGAAAGTGTGGACATTGGCCCCTTCACAGGTACTGGATGGCAAAAAAAGGGGAGACAAGAAACCTAAGGAGAACCTTAATCAAAATGCTTACATACCTACCTGCTGTTTCACCTTATTGCCAGAAATGGTTTAGGTTTTGTCATTGCAGAGAGGAGGCAGATTAGAGAACCACATTCATAGAACAGACGTGTTACCAATTCTCTTTCCTCATATCTTAAAAGAGGGAAAAAAAACCTCAATGTAGACAAATTATTGTGATTGGTATTTCTTTCATCACCTGCAGTGTTGCAGCTGCCATATTTGATTGTCCTTTGACTTTGTAATAACATTAGTTTTAGCTGTTGATTCTCTGTTCCAGTCAAACTTCATGTGGGTATGTACACATGTAATTATACACATATGTATAAAATGTATAAAATATTACCTCACACGTGACTGTCCGTCAAAAAATACAGATGCTTTTTTTCTTGCCCTATGTGTAAAGTTTTGGGGTTTTTTAGAAAACAAAAAAAGAAACTAATTGCCTTCTTGTATCACTTGTGATATTTAGGACATTTCATTTGTCTTTTTGCATTCTTTTGAGCCAAGTAATGAATAAAAGCCAATTTAATTATATGTACTATATAATATAACCTCCGTTAGTACCCCTCAACTTGATTGTCCAAAGGCAGTTAAGGATAAGGATCTAGATTATTTACAAGTGTGTGGTTTTATTCAATGTCTGTTGTATTCAATGTCTGTAATCCTGAAATTACCTAGAAGATGCTTTTCAGTGTTAAGTAACTTAAAATAACCATGTGTTATGCATAGCATTCTGTTCCATCCCCACTGAAAAAGTAGAGCCAAGAAGCAAAGTAGATGGAAAAGAGGTGCTGTCACTGATTAATTGCTGTTAAAGTACAATAAAAATACAGGCTATTAAAACAAAATAAATTAATGTTTTGATACTGTGTATTTGACCAGTAACCATATTTTTTTTTTTGTTTGGGACAAACAGTGATAGATTGTGCAGCAATCAATTATTCTAGATCAAGCATATTCAAATAATACATTGTGACATTCAGTAATTTGTTATTTGGAATAATTAGATGGTTACTTCATTGTAGTGCAGACAAGGCAGCTAATTTGTTTTTGATCTTTATAAAAACGAAAGACTTCATTTGTTCAATGGAGTTGCTCTTTTTAATTAAAAAGGCTAGTTTTCTCATTTGCACTTTATATGAAAGTTGGCTTATAAATACATAATAGTACATGCAGAACGCTGACCAAAAATAAACATTCACATTTGGATTGTTCACTGTTGCCTTTTTCAGCGAGGAAATGAAAGTTCTTTTGAATCCTGAATATCTGGAACATGATGCCTAGTAAGTTTTAGCAACTTCCTTTACATTTTATTTGCTCTTACTTATAATACATTATTTAACGCCAAGTTTCTGCTTTTTTCCTCTCCAGTGCAATGTTCACACGTCTTATGAAAACTGCAGAACATTGGTTTTCAACTTTTGAACATGACAGTCAGAAGGTAAATATAGCTCTAAAATGTATTTATTGTATTTTTAAAAAAATAGGATTTTTAATATGATTGAAGTAATCTGAAGGTAAGAAGGCATCTTCTCTTAAAAGACTTGGTTAAAGTAGGCTCAAATAAGTTTACATCCTTTAGAGGCTCTTCAGAATTTGTTCATAAGTATTTGTTAAGATCTTTACTACATAATACATACAAATACATAAGTATTTGTTAAGATCCCAGTTAAGATTTCCTATTTGTTGAAAGATCACTTGGTAATCAGAAAGCTGAATGTACAAATGCAGTTTCTCCTATGCATGAGTGATGTTTGTGTGTAGCATTTGAAAGAATGCCTCTCATAGGCACATATGTGTGTCTCAAACCTGTGCAGATGTCATACTAAATAAATACATATAGGCAGTATTTAACCTATGGAGGCTTGAATGGTTTTAGCTCTTTAATATATAACCAATTTGCTGTGAAACCAAAACTTTAATCATATACCGTCAATCAAAGGCCAGGGTGCATATTCCCTCCTCCCCCTCCCCGACTTCATCACTACATTTCCTTACTTTTTCTTGACCTCAGGGTATTCAAACAGAGGGAATGTCTTTGCCCTCAGATCTCCTGTGCAGCTATACAGACATCACTGTATTTAGTATGTCGCTTCTTTCCAAAGAAGAGCTTTTTCAGTGTTCCTAGTTCTACGGAACTATTCCTTGCAGGCAGCTTCTAGGGACCATCTCCTCCTTGCCTGTAACCATTTTTCATGCATGGCATGAGGGACAGTTCCCTCACATCAGTTGCTCAAGATTTTCTTTGAATACTTTTTTCCTATCTCTTTCCCTCCTTACATTTATCTGTTTTTTAATTCTGAAAAATTACTTGTGTGGTGGAGTGTATGTAGAAGGCTCTAGCAGAACATAGCCCTATTGCAGGTATTGCCAAGACTTTCAGTGTATTATATCTTAAAAGGGTTATCCTCCAAGCTTGGTTCCAGCGTGATTCACTTCAGAGTTTTTCACGTAGACCACAGGGTGATTATCTGTAGCTAACAAAAAAATTAGTAAGAATTTGTTTGGGTTTGGATGTCCACATGTGTGCACCAAAACCTATATTTGCAATTAGGGAGTAGTAATCTGAGAGGTAGCTTTGCCTGTCTGTTGAAGAAAAAGGTGTTTAACCAAGATGCACATAAAGCCTTCTATTTTCCTTAAATATTTAAATGTATTTGTGTATATATTTTATTAGACGTGGATCATTGGCATCTTGGCGTAAGCTATCTACAGGTAAAAATTATTATTTGGGTTTGTGTTTTTACATAATTCTTAGTAACTAAGGATAAAGCATATGAGATGTGAATATTATGAACTTACTACGTAGTCATTTTTGTTCCAACAACAAAGCTGTGAGACATTTCTCTGTACGTAGCGCTTCAGAGTTCAGTGTGTTCAAATGTATTTGTTCCAGTTCCTGTGGCAGAGGTGGTAAAGTCTGAGGTGAAATTCTACTCTGGGAAGTAACTGCTTACAGATTTGCAGTGCTTTGGTAGAAGGTGAAAGTTTATATTGCCCTTTCCAGTCCTTTTGTGGCATAAAAAATTAACAATGCAAAGCGCATGGATTAATATCTAGTTGTTTGTTTTTGTTCTTTGCAAACATGTATAATCTTTAATAATCCTTTCTTGTACATATGCCTTTTACAATCATGACTTTGAGGGTTAGCTACATAATAAAGTCTGAATCTTCACAAAGGAAGCAATGAAAGCGTGTGCTCTGAGAGACATGTTACATTTTATAGCCTCTAACAGTTGGTTCCATTACTCCCAATTGCCATTAGAGGAGCTTCTCCAGCTACTCCATTCCCCAGTGGTTAATGAGAGAAATCTGTCCACGGTTTATATGTATACTGTGTCCTAGCCTCTCTTTACTGCTGTAGCATTTGTTTCCTAAATGCGTGAATATATAAATTGTATTAGTATCGACTGTCAGCCATTCCAGTTCATGTTGTGGTAGGTAATGTTTTGTGGCACAATTTGATGATTCTGTTGGTAATACTTACTCTAAATTTTTCATCTGCATTTCACTGCTATCCATATTTAAATTGTTCTTAGAGGTGAATCTATGCTGTCCCGTAAACAGAATAGCACATCTCTGAGACGTCCCACTTTTTGTCTTTTTATTGTAAACTGCATCCATTTGGGATTGATCATTTATATTTCATGTCAGCAGTAGATGTCTAAATGCAGGCACTCTTTTTTTTTTCCAAGACTTAGAAGCTCACAAAAAGAAAACAGGTGTTTTGCCTCATGTGGCAACTTAATATATAGTGAGAATGGGCAGGGGCACAATATCAGGATGTCCACTTGGCTTCTGTGCTTTAGGCACAGGCACAGCGAGTCATTTCTAGTTAAATATTTTGGCGGCTTGGCTGTGTCAGTTTATTTGAGCATCTTTCTGTTTGGGCTGTTTCTTTCACACCAGCTGATGTGATTTTTTGGAGTCATTTCAGCTGACTAAATGTATTATCTATCATTTTCTCAACCAAATTGTGTGAGAGGAGACAACAGACATATCATATGCACTCTAGTCATCCACTGAGCTTCTTGGTGGAGTGCACCAAATCAGGAAGCATGGAAAGTCATGGCATTGATTACTGATTGCAGCTGCTGTCCCCACAGATTATGACATGCTTTGAGGATTTCTGTTAATGGGTTAATTTTGAAGATGCTGATGAACTGCATTTTGATGGATGCCATTTACTTATCTCATGCTTTTAAAAATGGTAATCCAGTATATCTTATTTGATGCACTTAGCCATGTTGATAGTCAGTCGGTCTGACAGTCAGCAATGTGTCAGTGCTGCATTATGCCAAGGTGCACAAATGCTTGCAAGTGATAAATAACTCCAGTTTTGGCACTCTGCTGTTAAGAGGAAGCTTGCATTAGTTTTGATATGCAGAATCTTTTGACACTTGAGCCAGTGTTTAAAAGTCTGCTTTCTAATTTTGTAAAGACAGCTTTAAACCCACAGACAACTAATGATGTAAAGGCTAATTTGAGTAACTAGCTAGTCTTACATTACGAATCAGCAGATAGACATTACAAGTAGATAGATCCTAATGTTGAGATTTCTATATGAGAATCTGTGCCTATAGAGAAAAGCTTAAAATGCAGATCTTTTGAGTCATCAGAGTTATGAGTGCATGCAGTGGTTACACTGAAGTTAAAAGTCAACTTGAATAAACCAGAAAAAAATTCATACCCACTATGTGCACCAGCTGATGGAACATGCATAGTCTATGAATGTGTGGAGTTACAGACTTAGTTTCAAAGATATGTTTATGCAACTAATTACTGATTTGTTTATGCAAGTAGTTACTGTAGACTAGCATTTAACTTTAAGGCAATGCTATTATATCATACTTTGAGTGTTTTCCTGTATAGTTGAGAAGGAGATCAGTGGATACCCTTTTTCGCTATTCTGCATTCTAGCATGTGACCAAGAAAATAATGAAATGGGTCTGAAACAGAGATAGGAAATAGCCATGCAAGGGAGAAGCAAAAATCAAGGTAAAAAGAAAGCTGTCCGGTTTGGTAATAAAGAAGTTAATAGAATAATTTTTAAAGGAGGTAGGAGAAACATCCTTTCTCAACGTACATGCAGCTGTGAAGAACTTTAGTATTTAAGTAAGTGGCAGCATTCCTTATTAGCCCCTAAGGTGCTAGATGTTTTATTTTAAATTTCTGTTTGGTAGAACAGAAAAGATTTTGAATGAAAGGACACCATTTCAGTGAGCTTTATTTGACGGTCTGTCTGAGGGAGCTTTTGTCAAGCAAATTGATGGGGCATCTTAAATGAATATGTCTTGGTACCACAACAGCATGGCAAAACCATCACACTGTAATAGACAGATAAATCCCTTTGCTGCAATTGCCACAACAAAGCAACAATTAAGCAGATTTTAAGATACCATTTATAATCAATCAGATCCTTAAATAGAATCATTTTACCTGAAATAGCTGCTCAGCATCATACACATTTTCTATGGTACAGAAATGGAATAATTAAGAAAAAAATATTTCAAGCAAAGGAGATCAACATAAAAAATAAGCTTTTTGGAAGAAATTATTAAATGTTCACCTCCCACTTAAATGTGAAACCATGTTGTAAATGGTTTGCGAAATATGGATACTTCTCTTCCTTCCTCTTAAAATGCTAATACAGAAAGAATGTGGTTGAAGAGGATTATAACTATAGGAAACAACCTTGGGGATAGTTTCTACAACAACAAAAAAAAAACTTTCTTTGTTATTGAATGTAAAAAATAATGTGCTTTTCACTGTATTGAGCCAAGTGAACTTGTCTTTCAAGAGTTTAAACTGTAATGAAGTCTTCTGAAATTCTTAACCCATTGACCTTGATAATGCTTCTCTATCAATAAATTTAGCAAAAGTGTATAAAAACAGTAACTATTTTTAAAGTTAAGCTTTCACGTCAGATAGCCATGATGACAGATTACAACAAAATCAATGAGAAATCTTACTGTTTCAGTTTTCCCTCTTTTATAACTTTAGCATTGTTCCTGACAGTTTAGTTCTCCATTTCCCTTTCCTCAATCTTTCTCTTGATACATTTGATGTATTCCCTTTTTATTTCTGATCTTCCTTTTTACATGTTTCCTATTCAGTGTGGTTCATTACATCCTGAATTCCTTCCTAGCATTCTGCTTTTTTCTCAATAATGCATCCCTCTTTTGCAGAAAGAAAAAAGAACAATATCAGGTTCAAGGATACTAATACTCCAGTAGTTTTCCTTCTCTGTTTTCATTTGGTTTATGTCGTATTCTAGATCATTACATAGTTTGCACAACCTTTAGGTGCAACCAGCTACCTTCCAGTCCTTGGGTTGATCTCACTGTTCTATTTTGGTTTTGTTTTATAAGTTTTCTGATGCATTATCAAAGTTTTGTATATTTTGAGGTACAGCCAACAGATTTTCTGAGCAAGGGAATCCTGTTTAGGAAGTGTCATTTGAAAATAAGTTATTTCCTATTTGGTATGCAATTTATTGTCCTCTGAGGGCATATATTCTCTTCTAAGTTACCGTTTATCTGCTTTGCTCTGGACTGACTCAGACCGCTGATATTAAAGCTAAAATAAAGCTGTCAACACTTTGTCAGAGCATGAAAAGTAAAGCATGCGCATAAAAATTGATGTGCAGAGTGAGAGGATGAACCTTGGCATGCCTGGGAAGGGGAATCCCACAGTACCTTTCACAGAAGTGGATACTTGAGATTCCTCTTTTGCTGTAAAAGAAACAAGTTATTAATATGTTTATTTGGAAGGCAGTGATGACAACAAAACAGATTTCTTGCAGACAGTCCCTCTTATACAATAAGACTTCATAGGATATTCTCTTTTTTTCTCATTTTCTGTGTCTGCAGGAAAAAGATGTGATGATTACACCTGCGCCATTTGCAAGGCCACAGGACTTAGGCCCATCTATTGCTATTGTAGCAAAAGTAAACCAAATTCAGGATCATCTGCTGAAGAAACATGATATTGAGCTGTACATGCATCTGAACCGACTGGAAATTGCTCCTCAGATTTATGGGCTGTAAGTGTTTGCAAAGCATTATTTAATTTAATTTTTACTTCATTATATTAGGACTTTGTTTTACTTGAATTTAGGGATAGAGGAATGGGGCTAAAAAGAAGTACTTCTTTTCTCTTAGAACTTAGTTCAATTTGCAGCATTACAGTAAATGACACTCCACTGTTTTATTAGTGACAGTGGCATTCCCAATGCAGATAAAGTCCATTCAGATACACGTGTCCTTGCCTATGGCAGGAGTGTTGGAACTATATGATCTTTAAGGTACCTTCCAACCCAAACCATTCTCTGATTCTATAAAATAAGAGAACTTGACAGACTCCCAGTGCAGCGATGAAGTACTTAATCGAGTACCTTTCCTACCTGTGGTTTTCCTATAAGACGAAATGGGATAATCGGGCACAAAGGGAGAAGGGGAAAATTAGTAGCACTGACTGGTTCCTTTATTTAATTTTATCACCAGTTCAGTATCGGTGAACTTTCTTCTACTGCAGGCATGTGGTTTTGGATACCGGTAATACAAGTATGGTGGGGCATGTTAAAAGTTAAGCAGCGTCTGTATGTTGAGTCAGCGCAGGTAGTCCTTCTTGCATTAAGGTGGCTCAGGGCCATTCAGCTAGTTGTGTTTTGTGCCCCTTTTCCAGGGGGGCTTAATGGGCTATGTATGACTTTGGATGTGGCCTTGTCTGCATATTTCCTCAGCATTGCATCCGTATCAGTTACAGCTGCAGTTATCAATCTCGGTCAGTACAGACTGTGCAACTAGGGTGAACCAAGAGTAACTATGAATTGACTGTGGTTTTAAGGAAGAATTTTGCCTTCTTTGTCTGGAATTCTAGACGTTTGATTCATTTTAATCATTCCTTAAAGAATTGGCAAGCCATATGTGCAGTTGCAGTGACAGAAAAATTACACTTTTTTTCCTTTTTTTTTTTTTTTTTTGCAATGATTTAAAATAAGATTGGCTTTGCCTTAAATGGAAAAAAAACACAAGCACCAGTTTCATTTATAGGTGTGAATTTCCAAATGTAATTGTGAATTACATTTAACAACTCAATAGAAAATGTAGAGCGGGAGGGAAAAGGTGACTGTATAAATGTCAGGCCATAACTGCAATACTTAACATTAAAGTCTAATTTGATGTTACAGTAAAATGTAAAAATGCTGTGACATAGTATGCCCTCAAGAGTAGAGTTGAAGTAAGACTTAATAGTCCCAGACTTATAAATAACATATATTAGAAAGATAAATGTAATTCTACAAAACTTACTTAAATAGTTTTGATAGCAAGGTGTAACAGGGAGAGAAAAAACAAGCCAAGTAAACTCAAGGTATTAGAAGTATGAAGAGGATTGTACTACAGTATTACAGTATTTTTTTTTTGCATAGTGTACAGTTGTGTATTTTCTGGTATCTTCACTAGAGTGGAAGAGAAAGGCAGCATCTCTAATAATCTTCAGGGGTGGTAATGAATAAGCAGAGGTAGTAATGAATAATTAGGCAGTATCAATATCAAGGAAAACAAAAAGATTGTGTTTCTTTTTTTTGAAGGCTTACAAAAACACACAGAAAATAAGATAAAGCTCAGAAATTTGCCGACAGGTATTTTGAGATAAAAATAATTTGTACTGTAGGTATTTGATTCAGTATGAAATTTTGCCTTTCAGTAAGAAAAATAATTGAAAAAAATATACTTTTCTCAAAACATAATATTATAATAACAGAAGAATGGTGCAGTCTGGTGTGGCATAAATAGAAATGAATCTGAATAAAGAAATTTACAGTTAAGGGAATGAATTATGAGAGAGAGCTTCAGGCTGACTATCACAAAAACCTTACTACCAAGGAGCTGTTAGACTATAAAATAATATATCGAATTAACAAAGGAAAAAACATCAGAATATTTTAAAGACAGGCTTTGAAAAGCTCTCAGAAATGGGTAGTAGCATAGAGAATGAATCTGCACTGGTAGAAGAGCAAAGTAGGTTGCCTGTGAGGTCATATCAGTCTCTGACTTCTGATTTAACATAGAGGACAGGAGGAAAAGAAAGGGAAAGGAATATGACTGTTGTATTATTCTCACCTTTAATGATGTCTGAACTCTTCAGAACAGTAATTTCCAGTAGTGAGCCAGCTGACAGTCTCAGATGCTGGATCTTTTTTTTGTATTTAACTTTTCTTGAACTAGAAACATCATTTCTTAAACATAATTGGTTATTAATAATTGCTAAACCCAACCCAACTGCAGAATTCATGCGAGCTTTTTGTTGAAGTTTATTGTTTTACTGAAGTTTGTTGGATTTGCCAACATAAATATTCATCTTTCAGCCTCGATACCACTTATAAAATATACAGATGGTAGAAGAAAGACTGGGAACTTCCCTCAAAAGATACTATGGCATTCTTGGTGAGAAGTATGAATGTGTAAGGCTTGTATTTAGTGGAAGTGTCCCCTAACCTGAAGAAGTTGCACACTTACTTAAAAATACGGTATTTTATACTTTGCATCCTTCTATAACCTTCTGGAGCAAGGTAGAAACAATTCTTACTTACTCTTTGTATTTTCATAGAGTTGATTTCAACCTTTGATGTTTGCAAATAGTCCTTTTAATTTTCAAATATGAGGAAGACTTGTTCTGCTGGAACGGCCGGTACCCAAGTCTGTTGTACATTCCCATGTTCAGAAACTGTCATTTAAAATAAAATATGGTCACAAACTTCTTGAAATTATTATTACCTGCAAGTTTAATAGACATTTGAGTACTTGTGGTATCACTCATTAATTTCAGTTGCTGTCCAGTAGTGCAAAGGTTGTATGCTGGTTTTGTGAAACGTATGCTCATTATCGTTTTTATCATTTCCATGAGAAAAATCTTAATCTTCACCAGTTAGTGCTCTGCAAATTGTGGACTCATTAGCCCCAGCCTTGTATGCCAGGCTGCATGCTGGGAAGTTCTGCCAGTTTAGAAGAAAACTTTTCTCTGCGTAGTTTACATTTGGTGAAGCTTCAGCCCAGGGCAGTGGATTTCTTTGTATTCTGGAGGCCATCAGTGACCAGCCCTCATGTTACCTGGCTATCTCATTTTGTTGCTGATAAGAAAGAACACTCTGTTAGGTACAGTAAGGTATCCCGGGGTCCTGGCTATGCCATACTCCATGCTGCAGTCATTCAAGATGGTGTCATATGCAGTATCAACCTTAGTACAGGGATTTCTGTAGATGAAAATTTTGTTAGACCGCACATTCATTCACTTGCAGTCAGTCACTGCATATCCCTGTGATAATTATTCAACTGCTATTAATATCAGCCAAAATGGAACCAGCAATGCAGCAAACACCTTTCTTTGGTCTTATTTACCATGTTTCTAGCTTGTTTTTAGATCCCAAGATAATGCTTTGCAGCATAACATTGTTTCACATTCCTGATAGCACTGCAAATTGCATACAGTCTAACCAAGTTATAATAATTATCTAATCATATCTAATTTTGTACTTTTTAAAGTAAAGCACAGGAATGGTTTGAAAATAAAATAGAATTGATTACATTAACAGTTCAGTGACATGCTTCCTGATAATAAACTTTTCTCTAAATAAAAGAAAAAAATGCTAAGATTGAACAAAAAGATTGGGTACTCTGGAGGCTTGACAGATTGAACATTCATTTAATTGTAAAATCAGATGAGTTAACAGTGATTAATGTCCTAGATTAAATGGTATTCTAGTGTTAATTTCTTTGACCTTACATCTAACTCATGTTAAAGTACAAAATAATTATTGCAAAAGCATTCTGCAGTTTCTGCAGTGGCCAGTGTTTGCTATGGCAAATTAAGCAGGTTGCTCTCTCAGCTTGACAAAGGTTTGACGGAGGTCTTCAGCTACCTGTATTTTTGGGACATTATTCTTCCATTTATAGTAGTTTGTAGTAGAGGACTTCTTTTACATTGGACTGAAAAGATGAGTCAATTGGAAAAGTCCCAAATAATATTATTGCTCCTTTACTTTATGGACTGAGGGTTTCCAAGTAAATTGTATTGCATCAAATGAAATTCTCATAGAACTGCATGCAATAAGTACAGCCAGATCAAGTAAATATAAATGATACTGTTGTATAGAAATAATGCACACAAAGATAGTGACAAGGCATAAGTGTAAAAAGCTTTATTTAAGAACAAAAATTGACTGTTGGCATAAACTCACTAGCTCTTGCATCATAACACTGATGGCAGTATTATATTGGTTAAGCAAACTCTTTCTAAGCACATATCCAACAGACAATAAAGCACATGCAGAAGTGAGCATAAATATTTCATGATAGCTTAATCTCAGTACAAAAAGGGCCTTCTTAGAACATTCAGTGCCGATGACTTTGCCTCCTGCTGCCTCTCCACTTTATGATGATCAATCAGGTAGACATACTGCCTACTGTGGTTCAAGATGCAGTTTCAGTCCTTTAGGCTGATACCACAATTATACCTCAGGAAGAAGCCTATCTCATGAAGCAAAGGAAAAGAAGAATACAAGAAAAAGAAACAGAAGGATGCAAACTAAGTTACAGGGTAACTTGCCATGAGTGTAGATTCAAAGATAGCAGTAGAAAGGTTACATTACAGCAAAGCCAACAGCAGATGTGCTGCTCCACTATTACTGCTCTTAGCTGCCTTGCACTGCTGTGGGGCATCCACCTGTTTTAGTTAATTTCCCACGCCATTATGGTACCAGGCAGTATTCTTTTCCATAACCACACTGGTCTCTGGAGGGTAAATTTCAAGGATTTTACCTGGGCACTAATGGAACATAACTCATATTGATTGTATCCAGAAAAAAAATAAAAAAAATCCCAATTGTCATCAGAATAGCAAGTTCTTCGTGATCTCCAGAAAAAGTAGATTAAAGATCAGCCTTCCTACAGAGAACTTTACAGATTGTCCAGGATGCCTGGCTTTATTTTGTTTTTTCACAATTTACCAAAAAAATTAGAGAGGTAATATATGGCATGGTCCAAA